TATATATATATGTATATGCCCACAACAATCAGGCATTGCCTTGTGACTTAATTTAATTAAGAAAATAGCAAAATCGTTGTAATCGCTTGTCTGCCAAAGATCTTGGATCATATAACAACTTGAGGTCTTAAGCTCCAAAGTGGAGTTCGCAAATTGAGCGTAGTCGATTTTGGCGCCAGTTTGCTGATTGTTGCTGGAATTGTTATTGTTATTATGATAGTTGTTGTTGCTATTGTTGTTGTTGTGGTGCGTGGGTGAGTGACAGGCGAAGCCGCTGTCTATTGGAGCGACGCATTTCAAGGCTGTCGATCGATTCAACTTGTTGCCGCCGGCTGGCGCTTGAGTCGCCACCAATCTGCAAAAACAACAACAGCAACAAGAGCAGCAAAAAGCATTTCAATTCGTAGCTAGCTGCGCCCATTTAACGCTTGCAATGTCTGTGGGCGCTGCGGTGTGACGTCACAGCCTACCAGATTCGCCATGATATCATTTTCCTCGCACTAAATCACACGAAAAACTAAACATTTCATAAATCTAAGGCTGTGCGCGGCCCGATATAAATTTGCAGCGCGCTTCAATAAACAAACTATGAGTCGCGGCAATTAGTATGCGGCGCACAGAGGCGCGACCCACTGTGCGTATGAGCAACCGAAATAAAAGGCAACACGGAACAGACTCGACTGCTTGGATTGTTTATGCGTTACAAGCTAAACAGAATTTAAATATTGAACATGACGCATGCGACATGGCTGTCCAAAAGTGTCACTCAGCTGGTAACGCCCCCTCAACCCCATCTATTGCCACCGCCCCCGCCCCCACACACTCACACACACACAACATTGTTGTGCGTTTGACAATTGAAATGAAATTGATCGAAACGCGATTAGCAAAATTAATACCAAGCAACTACAACAACAACAACTGCCCAGCTATGAAGTATTATAAATGTTATCGTATTTGCAGATTGTATAATCCATGTGCGTGCACTTATGGCGCACACTGTAAGTCGCCAGCGGCCAAATTGTTCATTGTAAATGAATTGGAATGACAACGTTTCCATTCGGAATTCGGATGACGATGATGATGGACAGGAGGAGGAGGAGGAGGAGGAGGAGTTGAATTTCGCATATCGACTCGGCAAATCGTTCAGTGTCAATTTGTAATCTATTTAGAAAAAGGCAATCAATACACTGGCCGATTGTAAATGGCCAATTTGTAACGGAGCTTGGGACTTAATTAATTCAGAGTGTTTTTAGACATAATCGAAATATAACAGAAGTGAGAGATAGATAAACAAATTATTAATGCAAGCGATCTCAGCTTGAATTAGTCAAAGATAAACTGGGTGCAAAGAACTATAGTTTAGCAATCGTTAACAGTTATTGATGAACTAAAGATAATAGCTTGGACTAATTTGTGGAAAAAACTACTTACGAATGTAATATTTGGGTTAAGATTAAAAATAATTGCTGGGGACACATTCGATTCAACAATTAATAGTGTTTTTGGTAAAACAATTAATTTTAATGTCTTTAATCGTAATCCTAATGGAGATTATTTTGCTTTGCTTCCTAAAATACTTTTTAAAGAATTGTTCAAGCAATGTCTTTTGTGCATTGAATTATATTTATAATATATTACATATTTTTATTAAAAGCCTTTTGAAAAATTGACATCTATTTTAAAATAATGATGATTAATAATACGAATTCTATATAAGAGTTTACACTTTAAATTAAAGTTAAACGTCTTTCATTTCATCATCTTTTAACGTTCACCAAGATTTGTTCAAATAACAGCTTCCTAATCCCTATACGATGATAATCAATCAGTTAGTATGTAAATCGTTTGTTCGATCTATCCTCAGTAACTCCATAATTCATCATTCATAATTTCAGAGATTCATATAACTTGCAAAGAGCATTTTAAATTCAGCTTGATTTTCTAGTAAGCTTTCTATTGYGTTTGCTTTATTTTTATTTTTATTTATATTATTCACATATAAATTTTTCGCTATTATTACTGCAAAGTCACGAACTGTTCACGCGATCTGACTTTGACAGTTTTGTTTTTTTTTATATAAGCGGCGTGGTTGGGCGCATGCGATATTATTCATCCAGTTATATCGACTGAGAGGCGCAGACAGACTAAATCAAATCCAGGGCATTGATATGACCTCATGCAGTTAATCTATTGAGCTGGGCTTGTGAAAGTTGTGGCCCCAAAGAATTAAAGGCAAAGAGCCGAAAGCTCCAGCACCCACACATAACAGAGAAATAGCAATCACACGGCGAGCATTAAAAAATCGCCATCGCTCCACATTTGGATGCAAAACTGAGCTGGCCCAGAACACTGACAGCTAAAAGAAATCTGCAAGAAATGGACAAAAATAAGATAAAAAAAAAAAAAAATAACAGCATGACCTACGCTAATAGAAAAAAGAAAACAACCTAAAAGAAAAATAATTTTGAGAATTCAGACTAATTTTAGCAGTTGCGACATCAGCGAAACATCGTAGCATTTCGAACAACAGACAACAACAACAACAACAAAAGTTCGCTGAACTGCACAAAGGCAGGCGAAGATGATAATATGTAATAACAAAACTTCAGAAACGCTAACGAAAACACCAACAACAACAACAACAACAACAATACGAGAATGAAGACAAAGCCAAACTTCATTAGCTGGCTCTCGCATCATCAGCTAAGTTGGCCAAAAAGAAAGCAGCAGATGATTCTGGCCACAAAAAATGCACACAAATCAACGTTCGAATTGTTGTTGAGCCAAGGCAGAAGATCTGCAAAGCAGATGAAGAAGAAGCGTAGCGAAATTCCACAGCTACAAATTCGATCTATCGAAAACAAATTGACTTTTTATAGACAGTGACAACAATTAATTATATTTTAATATGCCTGCACCGTGCCCAGCGACGTATGGCCCACAGATTAAAGCCCCAGACCAGACCCCAGACCACGCCAGACCCTCGACTCGCGCCACGTCTGTTACACCTGCGACTGCGTCTCCAATGCCGCTTAGCATGGCCGACAGCTTATTAGTTTATAGTGTCAACAACGCGGGCTTAAAAGAACGCCCAGAGAAAGAGGCGACGGAGGAGACAGCGACGAAGAAAGGTCGTCGCAGCTGCCGTAAGTCATCGAACTTTCTCCACAGGCTCGCTTTGTTTCGGCTAATTTCTATATTATGTTACAGGTGTTGTCAGCCRCACATTAATTAATTATGTTTTGGCAGGCGCCTCAAACGGGTCCGCCAAGGTCTGCTGCAGTTGCCGATCGTCAACAGCGAGAGACGCAAATTTGTAGCCATTAGTCGCACAGCTTGACTATATATCGAGTACTCTTAACAGGGGGGAATTCTATCAGAGGATGTGTATCACGTAGATGGAAGCGACAACGATCGCTTAAGCATCTGCATATATTATAGATAAATTTTAAGGTATAAGGGACTACTTCTATACTAAATTG